GCAGCAGCTGGAGAAGCAGCTGAAGGAGCAGCAGCTGAAGGAGCAGCAGCTGAAGGAGCAGCTGGAGCAGCAGCTGGAGCAGGGCCTGTTTTAGCTTCTTCGGCCACAAAGACGTTTAGAGTTCATGTGGACAGAGAGGAACGACTGTCCGGTGCTTTCAAATTCTCTGATCTGGTTTTAATCTCAGAAATCTTCACAGTTTGTTCTAAAGTTCACGCAGATGCATTTTTATGTAGCTTATTGACTAGCTGCTGTGGCGGCCATCTTGGACTGAATGGACCCTACAAATGATTCCGACGTCGATGTTCTTTCGTTGATTACGTTCTGAAAGACTCGTTGAAATTTGTCCAGCACTTTGTGAGATATTTTGCTAACACAAATTGGACACAAGGAACAAACATCAGCAGCCACACTTTTGTCTCCGGTGGCGGACAACGTTAACGTGCGATGAAGACTGCACTAAGTGATCCATCCCTTTGGTTCTGCTCCGTAACAGATCAAAGGAGGAACGTTCTCCAGCTCCTCCTGGAAAACAAACTTTTCCCCGGTCAGAGGAGATTTATAAACCCTCCAGTGGGTTCTGGTTCTTCTCCCAGTGGGATGAGCCCAGAATCCTAACCAGAACCATGAACCCCTCAGCTGACTCCTTCTGAGGAGGAGCATCTCTGCAGGTGAGACCCCCGGAAGCTCCTGTCAGCTGCTTGTACCCACGTTCTCCTCCTCTTCGTGGTCCACTCCTCATGATTAAGTCCAGATCTTCGGCACCAACCAGCCCTGCTCTTGATGAAACCTGAGACATCAGCTCTCCGTCTGGGAGGTCACTGTGTCGTTTAGGTGTTTCCTTTGTGGCTGGACAGTGAAAGGTTGAAGTCTTGGAGTCGAGCTTCAGGTGGAGTTAACCCATCGTTCATGACTACGATGCAGCTGCCATCATTAATGTTTACGCATCATCCCCCAAGAAGGAGTCAAACTGCACTAATAGAGTTAAAAAGTGCATTAGTCCGTCGGGCGTCAAAGCCCAAAAGTAAAGTCAGGCCTGGTCTCAGTCTTCACCCCTCGTGCCCCCTCGTGCTCTCGGCTTGAGCCCGATCTCCCTGCGAGCCCTGGGGACCAGCTATTGATCGGTGCCTCATAGGTAGTGATTGGACATGAGTGGATAATTTCCTTTGCTGCATTAGAGTCCATTACTGGCCCGCTCCCCGGAAACAGATAGACATCCTCAAAAAAAAAATCTTCTTGGAAAAGCTTCTTCTCCAGCAAACGATTCATCAGCGGAGGCTCCTCGGGCTTCATCAGCAGGTCCATTTGGAGGAGATAAGATGTTCTGATGGGAGCCTCGTTCTCACAGTGACTTTAGAAAATAAAATGTTAATAATCTGGATTTAAAACACGCTGCAGGCTTTAGATTACTTTAACCCATTTTGTTGATCCAGCAGAAACTCTTTGGCCTTTTCTTAATTCCCAGTTTTCAGGTGAGACTTCCCCTCAGGCCTGTCAGGGGGGGGGGGGACGTCGTGAATCGCAGCTCGTTCCCACAAGGTCCTGTGATTTCCCTGGTTTAGTTCCCAGGAAGCAGCTCTGTTAACAGCAGCTGCTCACTGAGAGTTAATGTGTGGACAAGTGCAGGCACTCGCAGCCGCAGAGTGTCGGAGCGGCAGATTACACATTAAATCGTAATGAACGGTTGGAATCAGCTCCGGTCCATTTGCTCTTTGCTGTTTGGGTTCTCGCTGACGTTTTGCTGCTGATGAGATCATAAAGGTTTGCAGATGTTTAGAACAAGCTCTGCAGAACGGAACAGATGATGAAGAGTAAAGACGATTTTATTTTTATCACGGTGGAACAAAGAAAATTAAATTAATTTTCACAGCACCTGCTGCTCTTAAAAGCTTCTTGTAAATTAGAGCTAAGTTCGTGTCGTGGCTCGTGCTGCATTTTTTATTTCTTTTTGTTCTGAACTCCGCCGATAAATTTAATTACATTTATTATTTCCAGAACCTTAAATCAGTTTGTTTTAATTAAATAAAACGGATTAGTTAAATTTAGACAGCTAAACTCTGTCTCCATCTTCTAAAGCTTCTCTGTAGTTGGGTTGTGGAGCCAGCAGGTCCAGGAGAAAGACCTAGACCTCCCTCCCCCCAGAGACCCTCTCCAGCTCCTCCTGGGGGCTCTTGAGGAGATCCAGACCAGAGAAGATCTAATCCCTTCAGAGTTCTGGGTCTGCCCAGGGCATCCTAGTGGGACGTTCCTGGAGAACCTCCAGAAGGAGGCGTCCTAATGAACCTCCTCAGCTGACTCCTTTTGATGTGAAGGAGCAGCAACTCTACTCTGGGCTCCCCCCCACCCCCCAGGTGACAGAGCTCCTCACCCCCTCTCTGAAGCTGAGCTCGACCACCAGAAGGAAGCTCATGTCAGACACTTGGATCTGGGTCTTTTAGTCCTGATCCAAACCTCATGACTACAGGTGAGGATTAAAACGTAACTCCAGAGCTTTCCCTTTAGATTCAGCTCTTTATTCACCATGAGTGACCGAGGCAACGCCCTCATTACTAAGGATGAGGCTCACATCTGATGTCCA